AGCAGTAATAATGATGATCGATAGTGTCTAGTGGCAACGAAAAACTGATGATTAAGAAACATGTTCATCGTGATAGCGTGTCCATGTAATTACATTTTCATACCATCTTACACTATAATACTAGATCTATCTTCATTCCTATTCAGTTTGTTATCAACGCATGAGTCTGTATCCTTCTGGAACGTTTTTATTTGTAATAAACTGGAAATGAGGCGAATCATTAAACCAAATGTATGAAATATTGGTTAAACGTAAATTAGTTCATAGGAAAGAACCCACGAAGACAATTTCGAGGAAAGAACCCACGAAGACAATTTCGAGTATGAATAGAATTGCTATAAGGATTACTCTGATTCAATGTAGCGCTCTGAAATTGCTCTGATTATTGTCAGCAGTGAATGAATGTTGAAATTGCTGAGCATCACAACACAAGAGGAAAGACTTTAATTGCAGTGTAACACGAATTGTTCAAGTCAAGAACATTCATGCAATTCACACAGAATGCTTTCTCTGACAGAAGCTGATATCATCGCATGGATATTATGGGCTGAACACTGAGCCGTTCCACGGATCAATGAGTTTGTTCGAACAATGAGCACTCATTGCAATGCGCGTAATTCAGCCTAATTCAAACGGCAGTAATTATTTTGTATTATATTTGTTCAACGAATCACAATTGCTCCATTCAAAATCAGAACGTTCACAAGGAAATGCATCAGAACAAAGCAAAATGACTCTATTGCCTCTAACGATGTGGTTGACTGTCGTTCACACTAAAATGCATGTTCGTTTTTTGGTGTCCGATTAAATGAACACAACCGAGCGCAAGACTTAACAAGACTTCCGAATGCTTGATCTATGTAATTTGATACTTCAGATTTTTTGAAGTTAGCTTCGTAAAATGTGCTGCCATATATTATTTCTCTCTCACTCTCTTAAAAAAACTTGTGCATAATCGTGGAAATGACAGTTTTACTTCGCAGTCTAGTAAAAAATTTGTTCGAAAAATTTTTGGCTTTGGGAAAAGCCATTTTGAGATAGTCAATGAAATTCCAATACGATCGTTTTTAGTGATGGATGTAAGAAAATTGTGCAATGCTCATTACGAATGACTGGCTTTCGCATAAGGTGAGGAGGGCAATTTGACGATATCCATCAAATGATGGTTCAAAAAATCGCTTTCAAAAGATTTCAAAACGTACGCTTCGAGATGGAGAGCAACCAAGCGATCGCAAGTAGATAATGGTGACGATGCATTATAACAGAAGCATTCAAGCAGATTTATCGCAGTGATTATGAATTTGCTATTGAAATGTGGTTGTTGACGAATTCTAGCAGCAGTAATAAGTAATCATCAAATATGCGACGACTTCTTCAAATATCAGTAACATGAATTAATTTCAGTGAATGATCAACACCAAGCTTATTGATTCAATTCATTAAAAGAACAGTAATCGCTAAGTTCGCGACCCAACACAACTACAATGTTAGCACATCAAACAAACAACGTCCTTAACATCACACAAATACAGCTCAGTTCGTTGGTTATTCATGATCAGTCACGCCCATCCATCCATTCAACCATCCATTCATCCATCCATCCCTACAATCCCTCTAACCACTCCCTTTCAAGCTGATCATCGATTCTCATTAATCCAAATTTAATGCGATTAATTTGATCTTACGATTCGAAAACGACTCATTGTCAGTCGAAAACGTCGATGAATTTATCGTTTTGACAACAACTTTTCACAATAAATAAGAACTTCAAGACGTATCATCATGCCACACTGAATCTTTGTCAAAAGAAGATTGCACGGAGTGCAGTTGCGAACAGAAAGATTCTGTCTGATGAAGTGTGACATGGTGAGTGTAGAAGAATGAAAACAAGCTGAAATTATTCAGTGCTTTTTGAATTATTTAGTGAACGATTACTGATGCGTTNACGTCTTACACAAAAGCAAATCCATCTTGTTCATTTCAGTTGAGCAAATGCAATCAAGTCATACTTTTTACGAATTATTTATTGCGGCCATTTTTTTTGATCACATCGAGAATTTTGAAAGTTCTTCGTGAATAATTAAATACAATTATTCTGTCAGTGTGAAATATTCGATCAATTATAAGCTTGATCCATCTTGCTTGTTGAATTCCATCAATTGGGAATAATTGGAATGTTGCAGTTGAACAATGTGTGTTCATAGACGTGGTCATTGCTAGCTGCACTAAGAAAATCTGTTTCGCATAGCACATTGCGTATTGAAAATTAAATTAATTGGCAAATGAATTGGCAAGCCGAAAGAAAGAATCTTAAGCACAGTGCTTATATTCGAACATCAATGCGTATGTAGTCGTATGTAATGTTTGCATGAGATCTCGATAATACCGAATACCGCTATTAGAAAAGCAATACAGATCTCAAGATTCGTGGCGTCGGTATTTCTGGTATTCATAGCACAAGTCATTTTAATGAATTTGGTAATATATCCATCACGAGCGGAGTATATATCATACCCATTTTTGTTTTTTGTTGTATTTTTTGTTGAATTTCTTCAGTTTTGATAAGTGATTCATTAAATAAATTGCTTTATGGATAATTATGATCACAAATGTGTTGAATGTGTTGTGTTGAATGGGCTCAAAAAGAATGTCTTGAACAAGTCACATTTCTATACTTCAAAAGTTGATACTCAGTACCTGTACTATCGGTATTGAAATACCGGTATCACTCCGGAGCTGAGTCGCGGCTTCACAATGAACAAAAAAGCTGGACTGACTCCGAAACCATGTTACAAAGAATGAGAAGTTTGATAAAGCGGCAAGGGATGAGACGAATTTAAATAATAAGGGTCCATTTACTGAATAAACGACTGCCTTTGCTGGCTTATAATCGATAATTGTTATCACCTTAAATTTCCCTCCGCCGGAATGCACTTGTTTCTTTTGTGTTTTGTTGATAGTACAGTTACAGATTTATCTCTTATTTGGAACGTATGATATCTGATGATCTTCGAGAAAAATTTGTGAAAATATATCGCCAATATCAGTGCTTTCCTTTGAATCCGTAACAAAAAAGTTATCACAAAGCGAGAATGTTTCCACGTCGTTTCTATTGACTACTTCGTATGAATGAAAGAGGATCGCAATAATGAAGCACAACAAATAATGCCTTAAAAAGTTTTTAACTGTAAAACTGTAGACTTGGCATGGTTTTATATGGGCAGCCATATATAAAGGAGGCTGCATTTATCGGTATTCTTTCTNNNNATAGAACATCATGGGCACATTATTATCTAAATAGTCAAGCCTTTTGAAAGCATTGTATTACAAGTACGAAACAAAGATCTTACTAGCTTAAACAGCATGATTTAATTCTAACAGTTTACCCAAAGGCAACTCCATTCCGAAAAAGGCGTAGTGTTAGTGAAGTCCAACAACATTTGGAGGTGGACTAGGAATTATGGGTCTTTTTTGGACGCGTTACCAAGAATGAGCACCGAAAGGAGCCAGCCGGGTTGTTACCGATCCGCTTAAACATTCAATAGTTAATCCACAAGCACTCTCACAGGAATCTGATGCTGAATTTTCAGCCCAGTCTCACGAACCTCTATGTTCTCAGCTATTCCCAAAGTTGGTTGTTGCTTTCTTCCTCACAATCAGTCTGAGGAATTTAACTATCGTTTGGTTTACAGGCGATTGATGTGAGACGCAGATCGCATGTGGCAATGTGTTCAGTGACGTTCAATTGCTCGATTTTTAAATTTTGTTTTTGTTTTTTTTGATTTGGATATTGTTCATGGTCGTGGGAGTACGGTTAAGCGTGATCTAAAGTTATTCTAGGGTTTGGAGATAGCAGGAAGTTGTGATTACTTCGAGCAATCTGAATTCTCTTCGCAGCTTTTGAAAGATTTCTTCTTTTTCCTATTCCAAAAAAAAAAAAACAATTTTGTAGGATATGATCGCATGTCTTATTGTTTCGTTTTATTGTTGGTCGTATATTTTATTGAACTTGTCGTTTAGAATCTAAACGTCTCTATAACATTTTCCGTAAAATTACCGTAATATACAGGGGTGAAATGGCGTTTATGCTCACCAGCTGTTGCCTGCGGCGATGTGCTGGATCGAGTTTTAGCGCGTTCGGTCTCTATCGAATATCCTCCTCATCATCCAATAATCGCTTCAATCAGTCGTCGATCATCGCCGAACAAACCCGTCGCAAATTATCTGCTGAATATGTCGTGCAGATGGCACCGAAGTCGATGCAGCCCTACTTGAGGCTCATGCGAGCACATAAACCAACCGGTATATCTTAATCGTATCAATCGCTTCAATTCTTCAATTTGATGCGAAACGTCCATTCACTGATTACGCAATGCACAATCAGTGACTACGTTATCATTGATCATCAGCGTTTTGATTCGTTTTCAAATTGTCATTTAGTGTAACCGTTATAGGTACATGGCTGCTGTATTGGCCATGCACGTGGTCCATAGCGTTAGCATCGCCACCAGGCATGTTACCGAGTTTGAGTATGTTGGCATTGTTTGGTGCTGGATCGTTTTTTATGCGGGGTGCGGGGTGCGTGATCAACGATATTTTCGATAAGAAATATGATATGAAGGTTCGACTTTTTTATTCCATTTCTTAGCTGTTTTAGTAGTTGCATTTTTTTNTAAGAAATATGATATGAAGGTTCGACTTTTTTATTCCATTTCTTAGCTGTTTTAGTAGTTGCATTTTTTTTAGTTGTTGCATCTGTATTATTGTTATTATGTAAGTATAAATGCAAAATTACCCTCAAATGTTGCGGCCTCTGGATGCGAAATATTGATATGGTGACTTCAAGGAACGTATTGCAATAATATTCATCGAACGGGTGGAATTGTTGAACATCGTGCAAATTGAACTGTCAGTAATGCAACCCTTTGACATAATTTATTTGCTTGTCCAATTTTCAAGGTTGCACGAACTAAATTGAGGCCACTCTGTAGCGGTGAGTTGACGAATGCAGACGCTGTCAAACTTTTAGCAGGTCTTTTGTCTGCGTCTTTGGTTATTCTACTTCAGTTCAATTGGCTAAGGTAATTACATGGAAAACTTTCCAACATCTTCATTATAATATTCTCCACCGTTCAAAATTCTTAACTTCTCACCGTTCAGTTTATTAATTAGAAAAGTTTATTTGATACTGCAAGTGCTGGAGTGCCTTTTTTCATAACTGCTACGTGCATTGCGTAAATTTTAAGAGATACGTGTGATGATTATTTTTAGCATCGCGGTTGGCGCTAGTTCACTGTTATTAACGGTTGCTTATCCATTCGCCAAAAGGTACACTTATTGGCCGCAATTCGTACTTGGTTAGTTTCCTTCTTATCACTGATATTTCCATTTTTATTCTCATCACCTATGCACCGATTTTGGGCTTCATTGGACCAATAGCTCTATCAGTCTTGCTCTGAATTCATACCCTCAGCATTTATGATCTTCTTGCGGAGCATTTTTGTGTGAATTTGTTCCTGTCGCTTTTCAAAGTTCATCGTTATTTGTTCCATTATGATTCTAGTCTTTGCTTATAGAAAGATTTTAAAATTCTCTTTCATATATTCCTTTTCGCAGTGGGTGTGCA